GGCAGAGCCAGCTGTACCCGCCCCCTGCCACGTCCGTTCCGCCAGTCAGCGCTGGAGGATCGGAGCGGGGAGGGGGGAATCCAGTCCGTCCCCTGTCACAGCAGAGAGCCATGACAGGATCGAGAAGTGAGCGAACGCCGGTATGTGTTCGCTCACTTCCCGATCTATTGAGCCGACACGTGACAGTCTCATTGTCACAGTTTGGCTTGAACTATGAGGATGAGTGAAAAGCACTCACCTCATAGTTCTCCTTTAACAATGCTCTCTCCCATACATTGAAGGTTTACAAAGTGGAATTGCTGCTGTGTGGTTAACCGATCATGTTTTAGTATGCCATAACCAGATTAGTAAAATGTATTCTATTATAGTCTGATAGGGGTTACTACACTTTGCACATTGCTTCTTGCCTGAGTGAAAAATCCCATATTTGATTTCAGACATTATGGGAGGAGGATGAAGAGAGAGTTAAAGCAAGAATTTTCCTTTAAAGAGTTCTATGGTATTTATTGGAAAGCTATAAAGTAAAGAAGCTTGTGGAAGGTTGCTCAGTAGAGTGTTTAGTGGGGGAGATTGTATGTGCTATGGTTCATACAGCATGTATTGACTTCAAACAACTATAACTATATCTGGAAAATGCAGTAACATAAATGAAACTGTCATCCTTGTATGTATCAGGTAATAATTTTAAAGACAATAGTACACATAAAGTCAGATGTATTTTTAGTTGCATTTGCTTAGTTGTACTAACATTTTACAACCCATTCATCTGAGCGCATTTGGCCTTAAAAGCACACAGAGGTCTGTTATTCTGCTGCCTGTAGAGTTTCCCTGACTTGGAAAAAAAAGGATTATTACCAGATTTTAGTGTCTTTTACAGGAAAACTGTGGCTTAACAGACAGCCTGTTTCTATAAGACTCTATTTTTAATCACTTCAAGGGATGAGAAAAATTTACTTTTTCTTTCCCCCCAAATTTTGGCAAAAATCTGGAGGGTTGGTTAAAACTTTGCCATTTGGACTAAATGCATTAGATTAAATAGGGAAGGCAATGTTATGGCAGATTTATGGGTGCAATGGACTTTAAATGGCACCTGAGGTTTACTAAACCTTCTTCAGTGATCCTGGACCTGTGCCAGAAATGTTCCTTCATTCTCATTATTTTTATTTTTTTTACAGAATAAAAAAAGGGAGTAGGAAAAAAAAAAATTAAAGAAAATAAGAAAGAATACAAAAATGAAATAAACTTAAACTATCCTAAATACACCCACAGACAAGCACACCTTCTAAATAAAGAAAAAAGGACACCTTATGTTTTAAAGCACATTTCACCAAAGCAGCACAATGTGTTAAATAATGTGAAATAATTTGTGCTTCCTTTACATTTTGCCAATGGTGAAACCTGTAATTTCAAAGCAAATCATTTTCACAGAAATTACTCTACTCATTACAAATTACTGCAATCAATGTATCTGTTGTATACTACCATGAACTGCAATATTCTACATGTCACCTTGGTCACACAGTACCATGTGTTTTCTGAAAATTGAATACATTTGACTTACCCTAGTGGTAATCCATCCATTCAAAGGGTTTATGTGTACAAAGATTTCGGAGGTGAATCTTATGTATCAGTCTCTTATATTTTCCAGTGTGTTGAAAGATTTTTGGGATTGATTAAAGTGCACCTGATATTGTGTAGAGAAATGCATGCTGCAAATGAGGATGTTGGGTAGTTAATCATTGCCTTGTTTTGGTATAAATTATTTTGCGTATTTTGGAAGTTTAATGTTAACCGCTATCCATATCATAACCTACAGTATTTTCATATAAGACGGAAGATATAACCACAGTTAACTCGAATCTGAAATTTTCCAACCAGAACTGATATTTTATTTTTTGGTAGATACAAAAGTGGAAATGATAATAGTGAACTCTCCTTGCTTGCTACCGGGTAGGCAAAAGTAGTCAGTCAGAAATGATGGCATGGAAATCTCTCTGTTGGAGTATCCAAGTTATAATCAATTAGGGTCCACCAATATATAACATATTACATTTAAGTGGGCTGGCCCTTTCAGTTATGTAAAGGCATCATATCAAATTGAACATGGGTTGAACAAGTCTATTACAGGCATGTAACACAATGTTATTGAGTTTCATCTTGGACCCTAGTACATCCTAGTTGCATGAACATGGGATTCTGTATCCATGAGCTTGTGACTGAGGAGCCGAATTTTAGGGTGTGTCTGAGGTGGCATTGCATTTAGGAAGGGTTCTGAGTTGCTGTGTCGGCCTCAGGTAATGAAAAATACAGAATGTGCCTAACTTTGGGAGAGGTGGCAATTTAAAGCCTCCACCAGGCAGGCTCAGGAGTGAATTGATGCCTAAAATGCAGATGCCACTGGTGACTACTACATTTGCTGCACAATGCCATCAGCAGATGAAACAGGAAAATATTAGGCTAGTTACATCACCTGTTAAGGCTTTCAATTAGGGCTAAATTTCAAAGTGTTGCTCTGTGTCACTTTCATGTTCCACCTTCTTGATCACAGATCCTTGTGTCCAAATAATCCTACACAATTTTTGCAATATAAATCCACATGTCTTTTTTATTCATTACATTTTCCATTTTAAGCCTTGGCAAATCTAGACTTTAGAGCAATATACAAACATACAAGCCTGTGGGATGTACTATACTGCCATGCACTTAAAATTTTAGGTATCGCAGGGCTGCATTTTAGAATTAGAATGTCTTTTTGGGTGTATTTTTAAACTGTTCCTGATAAAGTCAATAATCCAGTAATATGAAATGCTACAAGCAGCCTTTATAGAGAGGCAACTTATTGGTGATAGAACACTGCCGATTCTATTCTCAAATACATATGTAAATGTTCCATTGTTTTATGTTTGCTGCAATGCTAACTTGTACGATCGCTTTTGGTTAGTAAACTCTGCAGTGCTTAGCTGTGCTGTGTGTGGAGTGAATGTGGCAAGTATGTGCTGGAGCAAGTGAAAATGAAGTATAATGAACATTTGCTAAAATAAAGGGTTATAATCAGAATAATCCTTTGATCTATGCAGATTCGGACTAATCCTGAAATAAATGTTCTGTCAGTGAGTAATAGCATGTACACACACAAGTAAAGAAAACATAGTTATATTTACATATTTTAGCCATGATGGTAGGTAACAAGAGCAGGGCATAATGGTTACTATAGAAGATTAGTTCCAGAAACACTACATGTAGAATCAATCAAACCTGCTTAGTAAGGCTTTTGATGCCATTTGTACCATGACCCGCAATGGCTGAATTTGATGGTCGATTGCTTCATTAATGGATCTATCAGCAAACTTAAAGCTGGCCTCCAGGAAAATTCCAAAGGCACAAATGACTGCAGTTATGTATTCATGAATATGTTAATAAATGTTTTGTTTTTTTAATTGCAAGCAGTGTAAATACCTGCATTTGACTTGGTATTGGCCTCTTGCATGCCCATGTACATCAGAGCCCAGACTGGAAGAATGAGAAGCAGCGCAAGGAGCTAATCAGTTATTCTGCATTGCTCATGTGCTAACAAAGACATGCTGATAGAAGGAAACCATTCTGTTCTTTCCTTCTATCAGCAAGAGACATGAGCTTATCAGTCTGCTATTTCTCCTTATTCTGAGAAGTCACAGGCCTGGGGACTGACGAGACCTGTAAGTGTCTTCTGTCCAGTTGGACAAGGCTGTCCTTTGTAAAAACTGTACATCTACTCCTTCAATCAGCTCATACCTTACAGTTATTACCTTATTATAAAGGTTTTGACTTTATGTACACTTTAAACCAATCATAATGCTAGCTCTATGCTTATTGAACGTGCCGTCATTCTAACCACATTGTGCTTATACTGAATTTGGAGACATTGCAGAATCTAGAAATCCCACTGCTGACTGCTGAATGAGTACCCTAGACCAACTAAGCCATTCTACGACTAATAAAAACCCCAAACATCAATACATTGTTTTTGCTCTGCTGAGTATAGATGTAACCCTTACCACCTATGCACTACAGTGTTGGCAGAGTTTTGATACAATCACTTGACATTTAACTCACTGACTAGGACTGGTTAAACTAAATCAAAGTTGAGAGTTCTGAAGCAGTTCGTATTCCATAGTGCACAGCATACTACCATGGCCTTGGGCTTATTAGATAAGTAAGACTGTTTTGGATGGCGTGGGGAAGCAGTTAAAACCACTGTTCATTTTTTACCGTTATCTGGAGCTTCATTAGAGAGATTTACTCTCACTTCCTTTCCTGCGGACAACATTACCTGTTACCTGACAGGAAGTGAGTGGAACTCTCCAACAGCAACACAGACAGAAATAAGAATGCTTTTCTTTAATAGAATATGAGAAGGCTAGAATCCCTGTCTGATTTGTATTTCTGTCTGTGTCCCTGTTGCAGGTTTTCCCTTACTTCCTGTCTGGTGAACCCATTGTTAGCAGGACAGGAAGTGAGGGTGAATGTCTCTAACAGAACCATAGTTAGCAGTAAAAACCTGACAGGAGTTCTATTGATTGGTTGCTGTGACCACAGCATTTTGCTCATCATCTACTGCTTTTTTTCTCTGTTGCACTGAGTGAATCTGGAAGGAAAGAAACATTCCGGGTAAACTTGCTAGTTTGGCTAGTGTTGACCTATTTAGAATTGTCAATGTAAATAAATAATAACCTTCTTTTTGGGCTTGTTAAATATATGCTGCAAATAATATCTAGTTGACCATAATAATGGTACTGTAACTTAGTTTTACCAGTAAGTCACATTCCGTCCAGCAGTTACTCACTTGTGATTTTTTTTAATTGTTAAAAATAACAAAGGATATATATTTTGCTGCAGTCTGTAACTAAGATTAATATGAAACAGTTGACTACATTTTAGTGTTTTATGCTCTTGGCATCCTCAGCATCACATTTACACTAAGCTAATTATATGACTCACCATGTTCTCTCATTTCCATTTAGAGAAACCATGCACACTGTTCTGTTCTGCCCTTGGAAAAGATCAGCCTGTCCTGGTGGCAGAGAAAACTTTGGATGGAACCTCCTGTGGACAGAATGGCCTGGATATGTGCTCTAATGGAAGGTGCCAGGTACAGTGAAAACATGTACAAACATACATAAAAATAATATGTTACAGTCTGAGGTGATGGAGAATGACTAAAGGCTGTATCAGTTCTGTTTCTGTTCAGAAATGCATTATTATTCCTAACAAGAAAAGGCAATCTATTGCAGATTGTATGAAAAAAAGGATATATTAACAGCTAAAGGAGTTTCTCACTTTCAATAAAGCATGGAAACCCTTAGAAAGAAAGAATAATGTTCACTGGTATGTAACAAAGGGGTACAAATCTAACTTCACTACCAGTGCAATGTGATTCAAGCATATTTATGTTAAGTCCTTTATGCCCTACAGCAATGAAAATCTTGTTAAGCAGATCATATTAAGAAGTCTTGAAATGTTTCACTTTACCAAATACCTTAAAGCAAAGTGACAAGGTCATTTTAAAGCCCACCTTCTGATCCCTATACATACCACTCCAGCACTCCCCTGCCACCGAAATACCTGGTTTGGCTGGGAATGTCATACCCTCCATCATGTGAAACTCCCTGGGCCTCTCTGGGAAACTCACATGATGGAGGGTATGACATCCTCAGCCAAACCAGGTATTTCGGTCAACACTAGCCAAACTAGCAAGTTTACCTGGAATGTTTCTTTCCTTCCATGATGCACCGTAAAAGGAGGTGATATGCTTTCCCAAACCGAGAAGTACCGAGAAGTACTGGGTATTTTACAGCATTAGCCATGACAGATGTAGCAATGTAGCTAGTGGAGAGTAGAGGGTGTTTGTGGGGTGGGTTTTGAACAGACCCTGTCTGCCATGAATCAGCAACGTGACGGGGTCTTTTTATAGCCTAACTCCAGCCAAAACGATTAATTTAATAAAGAGCTGGGGTGGGTTAGAACCTCTGTCAGATTTTTATTGTTTCTGTGCTGCTATTGTGAAGATTTTCCATCACCGCCTGTCATGACATCAAGTGATAGGAAATTTCTCCAACATGGAGAAAATAAAAATAACACAATGAAAATGGTTTGGATTTCTGACAATGTTTTTATTGCTGTCTGTGTCTCCCTGTCCTGGTGACAACCACATCCTCATTTCTTGTGTGGGCATCACAGGGACAGGAAGTGAGGGATAAGCTCCCTAGTGGGGTCACAGAGAGAAATAAAAGCATGACACATTTTAATTATTTCACACTTTAACCCAAGCTAAAAAGAAAAAAACCCAAAATCGGCTAACGTTTTGATTTCATTTTGAAAGACAGGTGAAGCTTTTATTTAATAAATTGTATTTATATATTTCATGTATTTTATTATATCCAGATAAATGTTTCAATAGTTCTAGCCCAGGATTAAAAAATTCTAATTCAATGACTCCACTATAAAAGTAGACACTCCAGGGTATTCACCAAGTGGTATGTTGTAAAACTGGCGTCTCTATGTTTGCACAAATTCTACTGGAAATTGGCACAAAAATGAAAAGTGGCCATTTTGAATTGGGGTTGTGTTATTTATGTGTAGCGCTCAAACCCGAAGGAGCCGTTGAATGACTGGGTCTTCCATAACCTTTCTAGGGATTTTTAGTAACCTGGCTGCCCCAATAGCACTTACCACCTCCACTTACCACCTCGGCATTTAGCCACAAGTGCCATTTTCGGCCGATATGTTTCGGCGGCCGATATATATCGGTGCATCCCTAATTATTATTCATTTATACACTTTAGCTCCAACAGTTTGATCAGTGCTTCACAATTTAAGGAAGACATTACAGTTACAATACAATTCAAAACACAATGGTTAGTAGGGCTGTGCCCATGAGAAGTTACAATTACACAAACTATCTGTGCAGAGTGCAGATCAAAAAAATAATATATGACTAAATTAGATATTTGCAAAATTTTGGGGGGCTACCAGTATTGTCTCAATGTACAGTGATGGCATCCTTTATAAATAATAGCAGTCAGTAATAGTAGAAATATATTAGTGGGAGCCATAGAAGGAAAACAAAAACTTTGATGGGGCTTTCCTGGCTTTGGATCTTATGGTGACCCTTTAATCACCAAAGATGCATTATCTTTAGCGAGGCCCTGGGGGCATACCTTAAATTTTGCAACTGCATTATTCACTTCTTTAAAAAAGAAAGTTTTTTTGCCCTTGTTTTAGGTGCACTCGGTCTTTCTTCACCTGATAACAGAGACAGCTCCTATCCCAGTAACAAAATAAAGCAAATGTTTTTTTTCTGAAGTCTAAGCCACATTGATTTTTTTACACCCTCTTTCCATTGTTGAGCTTTGTGATTTATCAGAAAATACATATGTGACAAAAGGCTTCCTAAAGTCCGAAGCTTCTTACAGAAATAGTTCCTTTCACCATCTATCGTGTATATATAGTAATTGATTCTGTATAGGCTGATTGAAAAGAGGTTATATTAAGAGATGAAGACGTTTTTCAGATTACGCTCATATTGAATTGTTGCTATGTATGTGAAAATTAAGCGAGAAAGAGAGAGAGGCTGCTGAACCCTTAAAATGAAAACCAGCAAAGCGGACATTACTTCACTTTTTCCTTTTTTGTAGCCTAAACATGGAGTTGTTAAACATCTGTGTTCTTATATGAGGTCTTTGGTCATCAAGTTAAACACATTCTTCTGTAGAAGTAACATATATAAACAATAATGATCACAGCTAGGATTTGCATGATCTAAATGACTGGATGTGTATGCTGTGTATGCAAGCAAATATTGGACCACAGCTTCTTGGTATAGTGAGAAAAAGCCAAGACAAAAACCAAAGCACTCAAAGCTCTTGTATAATTTTATGTATGATTTATTTATACTGCACCAACAACGTATGCAGCTCTTTGTAATCGCCAATTACATGCTGAATATGCTGCAAGATGAAGGATACAATCAAGTACAGACCAGGAAATATGTGAGGGATGCTGCCCAGAGCTTCTCATCCTTATACAACCATGACCCAGATTATGTCTCAGCCTCAGCTTTGAACTCTTTAAGCCTGCTCTAAATTAATCTTGCAAATTACTTTCACACTTTCATAACCACCTGCCATGTTTTAATGTTGGGTGGGAGCAAGATTTGTTCCTACCTGCCAAGTTTTTACAGAAACTACAAATGGCAGCTGTACTCTCCAGAGACACTGAGAATCCAAAACTCCAAAAGGTAGCCAGGAAACATTTCTTAACTATTCATAGCTTCAGGAATACTTAAGCACAGTGTTAGATGGAAGAGATGATGTAGCATGGCCATTGCATCCAGGATTTAGGTTGAAAATCACTTGCTACCTGTTGGAAGAAACAAAGAATTAGAGGTTTGCAAAAGATTAAATTTACCTCTTCTGTGAGTTAATATTCTACTACTAGAGGGAAACAGGCAATATAATGCTCTATAATTGAAAATAATCGTTAACTCACCTCACTGATGAGGTTCCACCAGACAATTACACCACATGTTGTTATGCACAGGGCTTACCTGTAACTCTACCCCTGGAACTTTGCTGGATCTACTTAGCTGAAAAGCTCAGCAGTTAATAAAACTTGCATTCTGACTTCGCCCAGTATGTTGTAGTTGAGAGTCTATAATGGACTGGTAGAAGTTCCTCACCATTGATGCATTAATTATGTAGTGACTCTCAAATGCTTCAGTTTCTGTTTTAAACTAAAACTAATTGCTTTCCATTCCACATTAAAAAACAAAAAAATGTTTGGTATGTGTAGAGGAGGTGGCCTTTAATAGGATACATCCTGACTGGTGAAATGGCCATGTGCATCCCTGCTTTCACAGAATATCTTCAATTGTGCTATCAGGCTGTAGACACAATAAGTGCTCTGCTATTTTTCAGAAAGAATTCAAGACAAAGGGTAGCATTTTGCTTAGGCGTATTTAACATCTCTAGATATTCCCTTATAAGATAACAAATCGTCATTTCAGTTCAGGTCAAAATTGTGCAGATGTTTCATCAAGTTCTTGGGAGATATAAGAAACTGGTGTAGCTCTATAGCATTCGGCCACTTTTTTCAATTTCGGCGGACTGCCTTCTTAGGCAAAAAAAAAGAAAAATAAGTGTTCCTTAGTAGATGTGATAATTGTGTCTAATGATCAGGTCATGTTTCAGGGTATAGTTTGCCAATGCAATGTAGTTCTATTGGAATGGAGTGGAATCTGATTGTTACCATTTTCTGGACTAGACCATTCTGTATAGAGCATTTCATATATTTCATGGATTAGCCTTCACTTAAATCTGAAATAGAGCATTTCATATATTTCATGTATTAACTTCACTTAAACCTGAAATAAACTATATAGCATTCTCTCAGATGTCTGTTAGGTCAAAGAACAACACATTTATGTGCAAAGTAGGATCCCAAACATATGTACAGAGGTAATACAATACAATCATTGCCAGCATAGCACAGGTGTAAAACAGAGATTACAATAGATACAAGAAAATTGTTTCAGTGTAGAATGTTTCTGTTTTATTGAAAATCCCTTCCAGGAATCTTGAATTTATCAGTATTGGCTTCATGCCCTTTTGTAAATTCAGACTTAAAAGGAGTAAATATTTCTATAATTGTCTTTGTTCCCTAAGTGATAGATGTAAGATATGTAGGATTCCGTATGTATGCTATTTGATTGGAAACAAAACATGCTTTTGCAACATTGTTTATATGCCTCAATCTAGGCCAGTAAAAACGCAGGAATGTAATTTCAATGTGCTCTGTCTAAGGCCAAATGTCATTTTACAAGTTTTGTTTGGATAATTTGGGCAGGTGAGCAAGCATAGTTATGGCAAGTCTAAAGGAAATTGTACAAACATTTTCCAACTAGATTGTATAGTGTACTGCCAACTCAATGGAAGGTAAATGTAAGGTACATTGCATGGGCTGTTCATAGCTCTGTATACTTCTTGCGCACACACATAAAATTAACATAACATAAAATTAACATAAATTAACAAAGCCTCCTATACCCAGACTAGGGCTGGTATATCCAGCCCTAGTCTGGGTATAGGAGGCTTTGCCTTCTACCAGCCTTCTACCATATTTTAAATCAGTGGTACCCAACTCCAATAATAATACACAGGTGCCCATTTACTAGGTAAAGAAACAGTAGCATTTCTTAATAACTGTAACATGACAACACTAATTATCTCTTGAGTCAGTTTTTGGTAGATTCAGGGGGATTAAACCAATTGACAATTTGTTAAACTCTCTGAGACTTTCCTGGGTCTGCACATCTGCTGTGATCATTATAAGAGGTTCCTACTCTCAATATTTGATTTTTGTGTTAATTTTATATTGTGCGGAAACCTACTGGAGACTCATTACCATGTAAAAAATAGGTAACATTTAAAAATCTCAGGAACAGAGCTGGGAATTATGTCAGGAAAGTCCTTCTGTTGGAGTATCCATACCATATAAAAGACAGGGGCTGACGTAGCTCACCAGGCTCGCCCTATAACTAAAATTAATACAAATTGGACAGTTTCTTTAAGGGACTGCAGGTTAGCACCATTTTAAATTATACTATATGCTCAAGTATTTAGAGTTTTCTTTGATACAGGAGTGCTGTGGGAGAAAATTACGGTAAAAAAATGTGCTTTAAATCTGCTTTAAAGACTGCTGTAAGCCTCAGTGCGCATGACCAGTAGATATGATCAGGTTATAGTGATTAAATTGTTAATATTGTTTACTCATAATGACTAGAAAATTTGCAAGGACAGGAGGACACAACAAAATAAAGAATCTGACAAATGGAGAGATAGTTTTGGTAAATACATCTAAGCAAATGATAAATGATATATGAAAACTGTATCACATGCAGAAATGTTTAAAGGGTAAATTCTACTTTAAAAGCGCTTGTCTCTTTCTGCATATATAGAATTTGGGTATCTGTCTAAAAAAATGTTTTCTTTTGATATTGTTGTTACATGTTGCAGTCCATATTTTAATCCAGACTTTTGCCTTCTCTGTTCATTTTAAAAAGAAAGTTGGCTGTGATGGGATATTGGGCTCTTTATCCAGGGAAGACCACTGTGGTGTATGCAATGGAAATGGAAAATCATGCCGAGTTATTAAAGGAGACTTCAATCACACAAGAGGAGCAGGTGATGGATTTTATTTAGTATTGGTCATGATGGTCAGTGCATCACAGGTGGTTATACATAAAGCCTGTAGACAAAAAAGTGTACAGTAAAGAGTATTATTAAATAGAAGCACATACTGTAGAGTAGAGATGATGTCCAAAGTATAGTAGCCCTGATTAGTTTGTACAGGTTACTGCACTTTGCAGACTGCTGCTTGAATTAATGTATACTAGATTCAATTACACACATCCTTTATAAATAATTATAATGATAAGGAGTAGCTTGCAGGAGAAAGACAGGATACTCAGTTTTTTTTAACAAGGAAGAGTTAGTCATTTTTAGAAGTGCTATACTATATGCATCTTCTATCCTTGCATACTTCCATACTTTTAATCTGTAGTAATGTGAGATAAAGGGTTTGTGAGAAGTGATACATGTATTCTAAGGGCCAGAAACAGTAAGCAATACACCTCCACCAATAGTAAATGACCTACACAAATTACTGTCTTAAAGTACATCCACATGAATAGAATAGTTAATAGTTAATACCCCTATATATATTTCCTGTCCTGTGGACACAACTGGAAGTGAAAGTATTCTTTAAATCCCCTTTTAAACTGTTGTCACATAAACAAGTGTCAGCATTGGAAGATTCCCTCTCTGTTCCTATTCTGGGGTCAGGGGTCTATTCACAAAGCTGCCGTAGGCAGCCGAGTTAATAACCGGCCCGAAGTGAAGTGAGCCGAACGCTGTTCGGCTATTGACTTCAGGCTTGTACGGCTGATTTCAGCCGTACACCTACTAAAATCAGTCATACACCGGGTGGATGCGGCTGGCTCAGCATGTTCGGCATTCGGCTCGGCTATTCTCCCCAGTAACTCTGTGGTACCGAGCAGAATAGAAAAACAGTTAAAAATGTAGACAAAATAAAAAAGAAAATGATGGGCGGAGCTAGGAGTAACAGCTAGCTCCGCCCAACTGTTTTCTATTGGCCGGGCGGTTCTCCTGCCGTCAGAATAAAAAAATAAAAAACCACTATAGGAATGCGCAGCTAGATACCTATAGGCTATGTCACTTTGCAATAGCCAATAGCAAACTAGCAATTGCACCCGCCCTCTGCGGCTGTCAATCACCAGAAGGGGACCTGATGGAGAACTGCAGGTCCCCCTCTGCTGATTGAAAGCAGCAGTGGGCGGGTGCAATAGCTTGTTTGCTATTGGCTATTCCAATGGCCGGCTGTTCGGCCAGCTTCGGCTTTCACCTCGGCTCAGACGAGCTGAGGCATATGCCTTCGACTCGTCTGAGCCGCTCGGCCAACTTCGGGAGCTGTACGGGCTATAGTGAATAGTTCTGCTGAACCGAAGGGGTCCTGGGGCAGAAGCTAGCCGAAGGATCAGCCGAAGCAACGGCTAGATCCTTCGGCAGCTTAGTGAATAAACCCCTTAGATTTTTCCTTCAGTTTTAATCCCTGTGAAAGGGTGCTGAGACTAATCAGCTGAAAGTGAGGTTTGTAACAGAGTTTAGGTCATGATTGTGATAATAATATCTTACGTTAGAATACACACATCGAAACTTTGATTTCATTTTGCTAAGGTGTATAGATTCTGATTTTTAAGCTGTTTTATATTATGTGCTAGGAGCATATTGTAATGCAGTGATGAAATATATGTCTTATATACAGTATTTTCCACTTTTAATGGTGGGTGAGATGTTTACATGATTTCAACAACACGTCATATCTTGTTCTAAACCTCAGTCTGTAAAGATCTGAAAGTATTTTGTAAGGTTTATTTTACTGTTCTATTTTTATATGCTAAATAGAAACATGCTTTTTACCTTACGTGTAAACCTTGTCAACCTAAATCTTTCCATTCTGTAACAAACTCTCCAAGTATAATAGTGTGTAATTTGAATATGGTAAAATGTGCTGTGTCCTTTGTAGGATATGTGGAGGCCCTGGTGATACCAGCTGGTGCAAGGAGAATTAAAGTAGTGGAGGAGACACCAGCTCATAGTTATCTAGGTGAGAATCAAGATAAAAAGGATACAAAAGTGTTTGTTATCGTATTCTGACTTTTTATGCAAAAAAATGTATTTGTCTTTTTTGGAGACACAATTCAACAATTTTAACACATAACTCCTATTTGTCCCTCATTTGGAGGGACCAAATCTTCCCATCCTTTCTTCCTCCTCAGGCCCTCTTTCAGTTTGATGTATAGACCTCAATAAACATCATACTAACTACCAAAAATGTTATAATACACAAAACCTTTCATCCAACCTCTAAATTATTGCATTTGTTATTTTGGAAAGCCAGTATAGCGAAAGGGTAGTGGTGAAAAAAGCATGTTAAGCATTGTGTTTAATTAATTATTTTAGCGTATCAATTCTTCCTTATGGTAAGATCAATGTCTCATTAGAATGAACTACACATACTGAATGGCTGCCAGGACATATGCCATACGTGTGACCAGGCAAGAAAGAAGCCATCAACTGCTGCCAAATCTTGATTCTGTTAAGTGTTTGTTGATCATTTTCCAAAGATAGGGCCTTAGAATATAAAAAGGGTGATTTACAATATAAATAATTGTAAGCCCTTAATGTGTATAAATGTGATGGGCTACTAGTATGGGCTATGGCTCACGCTATATAATGGACCTCTACTAATATAAATTAGCAAGGTCAAATGTGTTAACCCCAAAATAGGGATAGATAAGCATCCAGTAATGCATAAATCCACTCTCATGGACTCTTCCAGTGTCTCCAAGCATTTCACTGACTATGACTATTAGTTCATTGAAAATGGGAAACTGGCTTGATAATCTGTTTTCAAAGCTCCAAGGCTACAAGATTTTAGGACTTCCCTAGAGGAACATAAGTGTTATCAAGCAAGGAACTTTAAGTATTTGGACAATATTGGATTATTGTCCAAATATCTTTAGTTCCTTGCTGAGGTGCAAGAAGACTGTGATGGTTACAGTGTGCTTTGCACTGTAGGTAAAATAATTTTAACACTTTTACTGTAAGACGTTGATGGATTGGGTCTTTTTCTGCTATCTTTAGGAGGTTTCTGCTTTTATTGCCTGAACTCTGTGCAAGTGTTGCACAAATATATTAGTTTTTTTAGCTATTTGTTGACATGCCTTCTTTAAATAGTATACTTAGGACTTTACTTACTCTTTAGAACCCATGCACACGCGCTTCCTGCGTTAAACATATTAGAAGTTATTTGAGAAGCATAAGTAACATTTGTTCTTCCTAGATCCCTTCTTCTGGCATTTAGATGTTCCTGGGTTTAGCCACATAAAACTAGACTGAAGGGTCCCAGAATGCAGAAAAGTATTTCTTGTGTAAACACAGTTAGATGGAAGGCAGTTAGACACTGCTGAATGTCTAGCTATGAATGCAGTCATAGCAAAGCAGAACATGCTTTCAGGTGCATTTACAGATTAGCTCCAAATGCACCTGGATGCATACATTTTTATTCCCTTGGACTCTTAAACCACTAATCAGGGAAGATATTGTGGATACACTGCCTTATGGAGTGCCTGTGTGCCTAAGCAGTGTTTTCAATTAATGCAACAATTAAATAACTTGAGTTGGCTCCCCACAGGCCAGGGTGTCCATATTTGTATACTGTTTATTTCTTCAGATACATATCATCTAAGCAAAAGAAGCATGCAGCAATATGAATTATATTCACTCTACCGGTGAGCCTGGCAAGCCTGACACTTGGCACCTGGTAGCTCTGATAATAGAATAATATTATCCAAGTAGAGATGTTAATTTCCATGGTCACCCCAAAAGTGTACTGTGACTATATATGCCTAAAATATGTGGATACTATCACATCCAAAATATGCAATAAATTTGCACCCCTGAATAAAAACAATGCAAACAATGTACAATGGTACAGCAATTGACCAAGTTAAAAAACTGGGACTTTAAAGCAGGACAAGCAACAAAATACAGATAAGATACATATGTGTATGTTTTACTTGCCAAAAGATCTGTTCAGCCTTCCTTGGAATTCACTCATCCTGTCAGTCAGCAAGCCCCTTGACCTCACTTTTTTTCACTGCAGGTAAAAAAAACACAGCTTGTTAATGGACCTGTCCCAACCTATATCTAGGTAGTAAAGAAATGGTGAACCAAGCAAAGTTTGGTTCACTGAATGTTCACCGAACAATTGAAAAAAATTTCAAGGCCCCAAACAGTGCCTTGACCCTTAATACACAATACTTTTATATAAAATGTGACACAATAGTATTTTTATTAATACATCATGCTAAACAATTATATACTTACTTGCCCAATCAATATCCAATTGACTTCCATATGCAATTACTCAGATTTAACAAAGATAGAGGATATAGTGGGACCTCAGACAGACCTTTCCCCTCCAAAAACCAGCTGACACATTTTATATACTATCTTCCATATGAGAGACTCTCACTGTTAATGCAGGCTCAATCTCTGCAGGAGCAGTGTCAAGTGTAGAGATCACCTGCACTTCCCCCCTCATGTCTCCAGTCATATCCCCTCTGGATCTCTTGCTTTTTGCTGGACTACGTGTAGTGGGGGAGTATGGAGGAGAGGACACACCGATTCCTGTGGACGGTCCCTGTCCTGAAGTGGAAGCCCAAGTATTCAGCGATAGCACTCTTTTCTGGTGACGGAGCGCACGTGGAGAGTCTGCCATCTTGGTCATCAGCCGATTGTACCGCCGGGAAGATGTAGGTAAGTTTTTGCGGTGGTCTGTGGTTCTTCCCCATAGACACCTGGTCAAGGGTTATCGATTAGTGGGGCCGGAGAAATGTCCCTGTAGTTGCAGCGCTGTCGCTCATAGGGCTCTGGGGAGGAGCTGTACTAGAAAGCGGCCATTACGCTTGGCAGTTGGCCATGGCCCCATCACATTTTATATAAAAGCATTGTATATCAATTAGGAATCCTTCCACATCACTACATTTAAAGCCCCACTTCCTTCTCTAAAAATATATTGTTGTAGTTTTTTTTTGTTTTTTTTTTTACTGTTCACTATATACCCCTTACCCATTCACAAAGGCTTGGCTGGATATTTTGGGGCCTCCTTATTTTAAAGGGGCTTGGAGATTCTGATAAGACCCCCACACAGATCCCGAGATTGACTAGGTTAGGGATATGGGCATTAAGCCTTTGCACCATAAACATTAACAAAAAATATCATAGATAGAGGCCTGGAATTGCTTTTTAAGGGGCACCCCAATGCAAAAAAAATCAGTTTGGCTGGCCAGAAAAGGAATGGACAGTCAGTGTCCCCCACCCCCTTCTGAAACATACCAGGCCACATGCCCTTGGCAAGGCACCTTGTCCTCATGTCCTAGCCTGGTGGATGTGGGGGGGGGGGGCTTTACAATTACCCCA